ACTAGTAGATCAGTAGAAATTGATAAATTTCTGGCACTGGGACTCATCTATGACTCCAGTTTTAGTCATCAGTCAGTATGTTTTTCTAATCTTGATTATATTTTCTTGATATTTGATATTGGAGTGTGTTTTCTTATGTAAATATGAGTAAGTGTTAGAAATGATTTTCCCTCTTATGGTTTGTGCTAATCAGAGACTTAATTGTTGTCTTGCTCTAAATTTTTGCTATCAATCCTCACACGGAAACTGATCAGTAGAAACTATTCGGAGTCAATATCCAAATTTTTAACAAAAGAGAGAAATCAAAGGGTTGTTTGGCAAAACATGTTATAACTCAGATTGCAGCTGAATGTCATCAGCTACAAGCCCATTGTTAATGTGAATTAAGCTTTTGCTGGATTGATGAAATCAGCAGTGCAGGTCCATTTTATGCAATTTACTGAAGCCAAAACGGAAAGCAGTCTCTTCTTGGTCACTAAAGTTTTGTGACAGATGAAATGATGGTAGAAGCACATAATCAACAACCAATCTATATATAATGTAGGTATTTTACACTCTCTTTATGTTCAGTAGATCAAATTAGCACTCCTGTACAAATCTACATTCGCAATTACAATCAGAATCTCTCCGGTGATCAACACCCAAGAGAACAAACAAACTAAGAAATACTCAAACTCACTAACAGTTAAAAATCAGAACACTATGAGTAATGGAGCTCGAAGCCAGCCATCAACGAGTGTTTCCAACTCAAATATTGGACCTGACATTTTTACAAGATTGAAGATATCAAACTACGCGTGAAGCTATAAGTTCTAGATGGTCTAGGTGAAAAATCAAGACCAAACATCTCTTTAGGAGCTTGTCCTGGCTTCATCAATCCGGTTAATTTTGCTACCAGGTAAGCACTATCTGCAATGTGGTTCATATCATCTGTCTTGTTCCACAAACGCTGAACCAACTGGAACCTCCTATGTTTGCTGTTAATCCGAATGCCCCACTTAAGGTACAGGCTTTCTCGTTCTTCTTCTGTTAGCTTCCTCAGCATTTGCTTGCGCAGCATTCGTCTCTCTTGACGAAGGTCTTTCATGCTGTTTCACAAATCAAACAAGTTGTCAATCCGTTCAAATTTCATTTGCATAGTTATCTATCATCTTTTGCTTTTGCATTTAACATGCCAAGTACAAAACTGAGCTGTTAAATGCAAAGACTTACCTTTTATCATGCTTTAGGTACAAAGACAGTGCACATATATATGGCTCTGTGATACAAATATATGCCTGATGTTAGTCAAATTACCTTTGTGCAAGGGACAAAGTCCTGCCATTGACCTCTGTTTTCTCTCCATGCGAATATGTGTTGTTGAGGAAGGTCAGTCTTCTGATCTCTACCTCCAGATATACTGCATCCTTAGCATCACCTTGAAAAAGAAGGAAGAAATATGTTCTGTGCACAAGGGAAATGTTGCAAGCATTCCAAAGTTCAATAATCTCTTTCTGTAGCATCTTGAACTCCGAGGGCCAGCTGCGAAGACTTTTCAGATCATCTTCAATTGGGTCCAACCTGACATCTTTGACACACTTTGATGGTCTATCATGCTCTAGTTCAGCCTCCTTAACCAGTAACATACAAACACATTAGTCAGAAATTAAGGAAATGTAAGTTTTCTTGATTCTATTTAAACAGTGGACATAAACCCAAGGAATGTAATCCGACTGTCGATTACAGGTTTTATCTATATTTTTTCACGTCACACAAACTTTTCATTCCATGAACATCAACCATGAAAGAAGGGCGTTCTTCTAAAAATCTCAGGACTAGAAGAATCACCCATCCAAAAAATGAAGCATATAAATTTCATCATCATGAACAGATAAGAGATTGGAGATATATGGGAAGATGATTAAGAAGACAGGTAGAGAGAAGAAAAGATAATACTCACAGGACACTCTTTGACCTCCTTTTCATATTGAAGCTCATCTGTATCGTCCGTCCTTGCATCATCTACATCATTGACACTCTCATTATCTGTATCTTCCCCTTTTGACACTTCATTGACATCAGTCTCGCCATAAAAGGTGGAACTTTTCTCTTGAGAGTCCTTCACATCGGAGGTAAAGTTCGGGGGGGAGATTTTGATTTCCCAACACTCAGGTGTTGCGTTGACATTTCTTTCTGGCCGAGATGGTGGAGTATTTTCATTTTTGTTGCGTTCCTTAAAACATGGAGAATATAGATCATCCATTAGGCTAGGTTTACAGCTTCTGCTTCTACTTAATTTCAAGATGCTTGAGCCTGGTGAATCGTCAAGGAGCTCATATGTTGAGGATAAATTTGCTGGAGAAGGAGGCTCAAATGTATGCACACAGTTCAACTCTTTCTCTTCTTTCAACGGCAATGTTACTGACTCTCTACTGTCTGCGAACTTTGGTGATTCAAGGGTTTGAGAATCCTTTGAGGGAAGTGACAATGGTTCTTCACTAGCTTTCTTTTCTTCCTTAAAAGATGAGAAGGGCACAAATTCTACATCTTCTTTACAGGGCAACAATGTGACTTCTCTATTTTCCTTGAGTAAAGGTGGTGCTGATCGTGCATAGTCGTCTGCTGGAGGTGACACTGTTCCCTTATCAGCTTTGTTTTCATTTTCTGCTGTCATTTCAGCTGGAAATTTACTTCTTTCTTCAGGAGATGGAAATTTGGATTCTTGTTTTACCTTCGTACTTGATTCCTTGGTTTCAATGCAATGAACTTCCTTGTATAGGTCTTCTGAATTAGTTCCATTACTTTGTTTTTCAATCTCATCCCATCCTTCACATGAATCACTTTCACTATAATTTGAACTGCGGCCAGCTAATAACCTTGGAGATGAACTGTTATGGAGAAAGTTCTCTTCAAACTCTGGTACGCGTATAATTTGTTCCTCGGAACTACTCCTGCTATGTCCATCTGAACATGTTCTAATATCAGCATCTATAGATGGAGTGTATGACAAAATGGACACTTGCATTGGGCTTCGATAATCTGGTGATCTCCGCGCACACAGATTTGGGTAGTTTCCTAAACCAACCTGTAATATAATTCAAAGGCTGTAAGGGCGGACTGCTCTACATTCAGCCACACCACAGTGACCCTGAAGCGCCTTTTAGCATTAAGAAGCAAATATATAGACAGAAAATAACAGTCTAAGTAGCATATATACCTGCATTAATAAACCTGCATCATCTCCAAGCAGTTGTCGCATATCTCTAACTTGAGTCTGAGCTATGTCACGCTGCATAGTCAAGTCCTTTATCTCCTTCTCCATCTACAAAAGAGATGACATAATGATCAAGGTGTCAAACTGGTACAATAGCCAGGAAACTAGATTATCAGTCCAAGATGCAGTACCTGTTCTATTTGTTTGTTCTTCTCTCGCAGCAATGCTTCATAATCTGTAGGGAATAGAGAAGTTCTAGGACTCCTTAACTCGTTCTCCAATCTCGTCAACTCCCTCTGCAAATGCTTCACTAAAACTTTATCTGAGACGACTACATTCACTTGGGCAGTAGTAGTTACTTCCTTGGCACAACTTGCAAACAGAAGAGTATTCCTTGATTGCTCAACATGACTTCGTGCAGGGCTCATTGTACAGATGATGGCAGTTCTACCATTGCCACCCAATGACGGTTGTAGTATCCTAGTTAACTTTGAATCTCGGAATGGAATGTGACCATTCCTACCCTTGCTGTATTATATAACAACTTGCATTAGCAACAATTTCAATTTCAATTTCCTGCTATATTAGGAGTGATCTAGAGATGTTATGTTTATATCAATCAGCATTTTGGATTTATTAGGTCATTTTGGAGAAAATAAAGTTGATGCAAAGGCAATGTAAGAGGAGATGAACTCTTACAATGACCCTATTGCACTAGATTAGAAGAGAGCGCAAGAAATATAAACGACCTTAGCTTGCGTATAACAGTGCCCAAAGTCAGCAAACTGCGATTTATGTGGCAGCCTTCTTTCAGCCTTGTGCCAGCTGACAATGACTGAGATGCACGCTCACTTCCAGCTAAATCAACAAAATTCTGTGTTACATCGAGAAAAACAAGCACTTATTAGTATGATGATTACTGAGACCATGCTAAATATCAACTATCTCCCCAGACATATTTTCATACCACAGTAGCTGAAAGAGAACTGGAATTGTCCCTGCCTAAATACTCCCGCGCAGAACTTTCAATTGTCTGCAATAAGTTGTGTCAAAACTGTAATCTTCTAAAAGCTAATACTAGCTTGTTAGCCAGTTGCACAAGACAAATATTAAGTTATTATACCAGTCTGATAATTTGGTGAGATCTGGAGCTGGTCTCATTGAGCGCAGTCTCCCCTATCTGTCTCTGAGCTGCAAAAGTTCAAGCAATATCAATCAATATCCACATTCCACATTTCTCAGGCAAAATTTCGTTTCAGCACTAAATAAATTCAAAATCACAAATGCCTTGTTGAAGCCAAAGCTAATTTTTCGTCTCTTACCTTCACAAATAGAAAGGAGCTGAATGACATGGTTCCAATCCCTCAATGTTTCCTCTGTGAGCTTCTCAACAATTGTCCCTCTCTGTCAAAATTGCTTTAATGAGATTTCAAAGAGGAAAAAAAAATTGTTGATTCGGAGAAAACGACTAACCTCGGGGTCATCTAGAAGTCTAAGAAGAGTGCTATCAGCACTAAGGAGATCTCGGACAGATTCATTGTAGATTTCCATAGCAGAGAACTTCAAAATAAAGTCTCTCTCCGAGTGCTACAAGTAGTAATACAACTAGATACTCAGTAAGCGAAAGCGAAAAGCCTTGGATAATACGAAATGCAGACAATATAAACAAGTGATCACCTTCTGAATGTAGTCATATATATCAGCTATAGCATATTCAGTTATACCAGTCATAGTATACGTCTTTCCACTGCTCGTTTGGCCATACGCGAATACGCTTGCTACGAAATACATTAATGGTTTCAAATCAATAATACAAAACATGAACTTGTACGAACTATAAGATCGATGGAAATACTGAACAATTCAGACACAAATACCCGGATCATAGATTATGAAGTTGAAAATTGAAATTTTAATAGTATCAGATAAATTAGCTAAAGAAATGAAAAATATTTAATTTTCTTACTCACAATTGAATCCACTAAGGACAGAAAGAGCAACATCTTTAGCAGTTTCTTCATACACCTGTCTTGTGGAGCAATTAGTCCTAAATACCCTGTCTGCAAGCAAAATCATATCCCAAAAACAGAACATTGTCAAACTCATAAAGTTTAATTCAATTATGGTTAAACATGACTTATTGAGGCTGCTAAAACCTTTCTTTCCTGAATTAGCACATAATTTAAATCACAATTAACTTAAAACTCCGAAATCAACAGTTAATCCAAATAAAGTACCCAAAATGGACCAAGCAGAAATGCAAATTACAAGACTTTCAAGTAAATATGAAGAAATAAAGGATGAACTTACCAAATGTATAAGCAGAGGGATACATAGAGCGTTCAGACACAGAAAGATTAACATTTTTGTAAATAATTGTAGTGTCATTAATACACTCCCAATCTGAAACATCATTTCTTAAAATTTCTTTATCATTCAAAGGCCTCAGACGCACCGACACCAAAATTCTTTCTTCCCCGCCACTAGCCTCCTTCACCACCTCATCAGCAGTCGCCATTGTACCCATAATTGCTTCAAGTTTATGCATAAAATGTCAAAAGAAATTAGCAAAATATATATCTCATTTTTTTTTGTTTCTTCAAAGAGAAGTAAAGGTTAGTAAAAGCATATTATGTAATTGAATGAATGATCATTTTGTGTGAGTCAATGGAATGGAAGTTGAATGATAAGTGTATTTTGTTTGTCTCATGCATTTATGGTTTTTTATGTGCTAAATTTTAGACTTTATAAATATTGTTTGGATGTTTATGGGTTAGCTATGGTCCCCATTTACAGTCTGTCAGTCTCTGTCTTGATTCTTATGAATGTTCCTTAACCTTTGGTTTTCACAACAAAACCAAAAGATTAGGTTCACAAGCTCATCCATTAATATTAAAATACTTATAATATAATAGGAGTAATTAATACACCTTTCATTACATTTTATAACAAGATATTTGATTGAACAAAAAATATTTTTTATACACAGACTAAAAAGAAAGTGTATTAATTTAATTGTGCATATATTTAATAAATAAAGGGAGATGTTGAAATTTTGATGTGTGTAATACTTATAAATCTTGTTGTTTTTGAATTTATCAGATAAAATTGAAATTTGAAAAACTTACATACTCAATATAAAAAAAATATTACTCTTTTTGAAATATATATCAGGAAGAAGTAAAACACATAAATTGAGAACGAAGAAATAAAAATAAAGGGGATATGAATATTTATTTATTTACTACTAGTAATATTTTTCTTTTGTTAGTATTATTTTTGTTTGTTTGTTATTTTATTTACACATTGGAAAAGGTGGAATTTTTCCTCCGTCAGGGGGTCATTTTCAGAAAAAGTTGATTTGATAGTTTTAATAAAAAATAAACACCGGCCATTTGACAAAATCTCTGTTTAGTTTCTTTGGAATATAAATTTCAAGAATAAAGAGACAGAATTTTAAAACTATTTGAATAAAAGTAGAAATTGGATCCAAATTCTTTTCTTTAATATTTAGTTGTGTTAGATTTTTTCTTTTCTAATTTAATTGCAAACTTAACAACCACATCCAACAACAGCTTAACTAATTTAATGACATTTTTTTCTTTCACTAAACATCAACTAAACAGTTGGTTAATTGTTGTTATACATGTTAGATCTTATTGTAACAGTTTACCAAAAATTAATTAAATTAAATTTCTTCCATTTCAATCAAATTACTTTTTGCCCTGACTCAATCAATTCGGTAAACTGACCATTTCATTAGATAATAATTGTCTCTAAATTAAAATTAATGGCTAAATTATTTTACTAGTTTGAATTTGAATTGAAGAAATAAATAAATGTAGTTTTTCTTGTTTGAATTTGAATTAAAGAAAGATAGGGTAACATTAAAGATGAACAGTCTTTTTCAGCATAAACGTCAACTTTTAGTTAGTTGTAGAAGCAATGGCAAGCAAAAGAATAATATGGATTACAAAAAGGAATTCTAAAAATGCAAAAATATGTATCATATTACAATAGTACGCTACCATTATTTTATGTTCGATTTTATTTTAGTTTGATTGTTTTTAATATTTGTACTATCAATTATTTTTTTCAATATTTGCATCATAGTTTTTTATAACTTGCAATTCTTTCAAACTGTTTCTTGAGTCATGGTGTCTATCATAAATAACTTTTATATCCTATAAGGATAGATATAAAAATCTACATATACGACGCACCTTACTCTCCCAAACCTCTTTATGAAACTATATTATTATTATTAACATATTATAAATTTATAGAGTATTCGAAAAAGATTTTAAATAAAAGAATTGTGGGGCTTTGACTTGGAGCTTAAAGGCACGCTTCATATGTTTATTCTTTTTAAGTCTATCTCATCTTGCGTTTTTTCTCGTGTACTAAATTCGTGAATGACAAGTAAGGCTTATTTCTTAAACATATTTGTCAATTTTTGGGAATTTATTTAGTATATAAAGAGATTTTACGGGTCAGGTAGGTTTTTGTTTAAAATCTCTATAATATATTCTATTTTTCATTTAAAAATCAGGTGTTACATTATTAAAGAGTAGCTCAATATATCACTTTTTGGTTTGAACGATCTTTTGTGTCGTAACATTAATTTAGTTAAGTAACTTTTGAGTGAAATAACAAAAATATAGTTCTTCGATAAAAAAAAAAATTGTTTGTAGCTTGATAGCTATAGAGTGAGTTGAGAATAATGATGAGATCTCAAGTTTAATTATTATTTTTTAAATATGACTAAATATTTTTTTTTATCTGTTTTAATCTTGATAAACAAAGTTACCTAACTTTTTTGTCGAGTGGGCAATAAATTATCTTGTGCTTACATATTGCATTGATATTTTAATTTCATTTTTCATAAAAAAGCACGGGACACCTATAGAAACACCAATATACAACAAGTCAACAAATAAAAGACAGGCAGTTTAGGTGCTTAATTAGAAGCTAAAAAATCATTTTCACTTTTTATGTTGGGCCCAAATAAATTAATGTAATATTTTCACCTAACCAAGAGAAAAATATACTACTAATTTATGAAGACAATAAATGGTGGCAGGTGAAGAAGATCCAACTCTGTGGAGCCAAATCACTCACAATCTGTTGCTCTTAATTCTTATCATTAAGTACTAAGTAACATATTTATGTCTTAATTTAAAATTTCAGGCTTTCCAAATTCTTCCTGTCATTATTCCATAGCAGGCAGATTAAATGCTATTATTCCAAAGCAGCCAAACGATTAATCATTTGTATATAATTAACTTAATTATAATTATACCGTGACAACATAAAATTCTTTTCTACGAGTATAATTTAATACTTTATCAATCTCAATTTTATGTTATATAAAGAGTTGCCACCCTAGGCCTTTAATGATACAGTTCTGATGATATTTTTCTCAAATCACAATTATATCTTACATTTTCTTTTCTGTTGTAACAACATTAATCCAAGGTACACAATTTGATATTTTTTTTTTCATAATTACGACTTTTACTAGTACAATAATATTGTCTAGTAATGATCAAACTATTTAATAATGGATTAAATTTTGTTTGACTTATCTACTATTCATAGCATGTGCTGGGAGAACTTTAAGTATATATAATTTAAACTTGAATTATTATTATATCAACCTAAATATGATTCTCCTATTCCAATATTGCCATATTCTGTTCGTCCAATAATGAATGTTTTGATAGAAGCCGATTCCATTTATAATTATTTTCCTCTCTGATTATCATAAGTTGGGGGAATATATAGATATACTTGCACCGTTTCATGATATGTGTGCTTTTCGAGAGATAATTTCATTAATTTTTAAAATATTTATAAATTATATAACAAGTACTATATATTATAATTTTTTTATATCGAAAAAATATATTTTAAAATATTAATCAAAATTCATATTATATGATACTTAAAAAGAGAATTATGACAAGTAAAAATGAACATAAGAGGTTTTGAGTGCGGGTCCTTCGTACTAAATCGTCTTTGTTAGAGACCGCTTTATTTTTTTATGTGAAACTTTTCGACGTGAATTCAGATATAATCAGGCTCTAATATCAATTTCGAATGGCCAATGTGAGAAGAAAAAAAAGGACACGAGTAGAAAAGTAAAGCTTGTAGAGTATGTAGGGATGATGGGACCTATTTGACTGAGGGGAAAAAATAAAAATAGAAGGCATGTGCTTTGAAAAGAGAAGGTTTATCATTTCCTTGCTTACTCTTCATTATTATGCAGCTCAGATGAAACAATAAGAAAGGACCATTCACATGCATGTGCCACTTCTCATTATTTGTAGCTTTTATCTATTACCTGTCACTACTTTGTTTTTATTTTTCTAAAAATAAAAAATGAAGTTGGTTTTCTCTTTCTCCAACTTTAATTTTCAATTGTATATATATATATATATATTCAGTATACTAATGGTTCTTTATCATTCCAACAATTCACAGGACATTAAAATATGTATACTTATTTATAATTTGCTTGTATTCTTCTCTTCCCAATCAGTGTGAGGCACGGATTTCTTTAAGGAAATTAAAAAAAAAGAGTGGTCTATTGTGTTTAGGGAAATTCAATCATTTGAAGTAGTAAGTATAATTTTTTGACGAATGAAATTGGCTATGACATTATTCACAATTAACATTACCAGTATAGTGCAACGAAAATGCTCCAACTGTTTAACAAATGAAACAAGTAGAGATGAGGAATTCGATTTAAAATCCGTTTTTTTTCTTCTCATTTTTGATAATTTCTTTAGCAAGATCAATCAAACTTAC